TTCAAATATAAATAATTACTTGGCATTCCTTTATTGATTGGAATTAAGGTTTTGTTCACTATTCCAGTATTAAAAAGAACTATAATAAACATCTTCATATACAAAGTATTTATGGTATACATAAGATTATGTTCTTAAAATTAGATTCCTAAAAATACAATTACTGGGTCAAACTGTATTACCATAACTCTAGGTACACAATTCCCCAACTACTGTTTTAAAGGGCTAAACCACAGCTGAGAATGCTTATTTCACCATGCCACTGCCAGAAGCTCACCATTTTCAAGAGATACTGTTCCAGAGATTCAACTGTAGCTAAAGGTTCCATCTTCAACATTCTGCCAGTACGGTCTATCAGTGCAGTTTCACCAGGTGCACGTTCCAAGCGAAATCGTAATCTTCTTGTAAGTATCTATGCAAAAATTATCAAAATCCTTTAGAAAATGCCTGGCCTTTTTCTCAGAACTGCAAAAATGACAAACACTACATAACCATAACAACTGAGATTTATAAAGCATAACCATAATGGAATTACCAATGAACGAATGTTTTTTTCCTTAAAAGGTCCACTGAATAAGTAACAGTGGCTATGGAAAAAAAAAAAAACAAAAACTGGGTAGCAGTACCTGACCCTGTACTATGGAAACTGAACAGAGTTAAGTCACCAGTGGCCTACAGGGTTGCTCAGGCTGGGTGAAGTCTAAATTCCTCTCAGTCCTTTTACCTGCAGTCCACTGTATCACCTGCATTCCCTGTCTCACATCCCCCTCTTCCCACAAACCCTTCAGTTCACTTGGCCTGGTTCTCTAAGCACACGTGGTAAGTCTACCAGCAGCCCTTGTAGTTCCAGTTTCCAGAGAGTGGGGGCATGAAGTGGCCGGTGCCGGGAGGTTTGGGGCACGCTCCACTTTTGTAGGCGACCTTGCAGAGAGATGCAGAGAGAAGCAGTAGGCAGAGAAGCAGTAGGCAATGGGTAAAGTTGAGCTTTGGTTGCCAAAGAATAGGGAGTGTGAGGGCTTACATTCTAAAATTAAGTCATTTTCTTTTGCAGAACTCTAGTTCTTGTCCTCAAAGAGTTGAAAATCCAAATGTAAAAGAGAGGCAACAAATAATAAGTGGTAAATGCAGCGTAGTGAGTGCATTAATAAAGGTACTTAGGGAAAGCAGATGAGGAGGCAATTAGGGGAAACATGGTGATAGAAAGCCTTCAAAGTTCATTCCCCAGGACCGCCACCAAAAAAAAAAAAAAAAAGAAGGCCTTCAAAGACTCAGATGCCATTTAAGCTGGGCCTTGAAAAGTGAATAGGGCTTTATAAGGCAATTTAGACGAGAAGGCTCAATCAAGGCAAAGACACAGACCATTAAAGGTTTGAGGACTGCTGGATAGCCAGCTGTGACTAGAAGAATGGTCCTTAGCCTTTTTTTGGCACACCAGTTCCTTTGAAAACATGGTAAAAGTTATGGATGAGCTTCCCAGGAAAATGTGCATGTACCTATCAAAATATTTTGCATATAATTTTATCGAGAAAAATTGTGAAAAACTTTGAAATGGAAAAAAAAAAAATTACTTGGTGCCTTGCCTCGCTCGCTCTTCTGGGTTATCTATGCCTTTCATTGTCATGGAGCTATTTTACAACTTTGTAACTTGTAGAAAATGATAAAAATGGAAATTAGGTTTGTCCAGTGGAGATGCAATTAATTATTACCCTCATATGTATTAGCAACATTCCTGATTACCTATATATGTGTCTGCCTTTTGAATTCTCCTTCGAACTGGTTTTTTCTGTTTTATACGTTTGACTGTTATTTATTTTCTTATTCCCATTTCCATCCCCCTCAGAATGTAAACTCCAGTTATCTTCTTTCCCTCCCAAACTTCCCCTCACATTGCCTTCACAATTTCTCCCACGGTGGTGACTACTTAATACTGATTATCCTGAAGAAAGAAGTAGGGGTCTGAAGCATGTGTTTCTTTTAAAAGAGGACTTCTCTGAGCACGATGCTCACACCTGTAATCCTAGCACTCTGGGTGGCCGAGGCGGGAGGACTGCTTGAAGCCAGGAGTTGGAGAACAGTCTGAGCAAGAGTGAGATCCCCGGACTAGCTGGGTGTGGCTGCACCACGACTGAAGTCTCAGCTACTCGGGAGGCTAAGGCAGGAGGACTGCTTGAACCCAGGAGTTTGAGGTTGCAGTGAGCTATGATGAGGCCACTGCACTCCAGTCTGGGTGACACACAGGGAGACCCTGTCTCCCAAAAAAAACAGGACTTCAAGGACAAATTGCTTCACCCCCAAATCAAGTTCGAGCTCACTGTCGTCTCATCAGTTTGTTTGTATTTTGCTTTCCCTATATTCCCACCACCCAGAAGAGAGCTTGACACCCAGTAGGCACACCAGTAGTTGCTCGTTGAATCAATAAATTAATTCCTTTTCTTAAAAATCTGAAATTAGTCCAAGGACAGAGTAGTTACTGACATACTCCAACCATCAGACTGTTCGAAAAGGGCCAGAGGGGCCTCTGTCAGGCCCAGCACAGCGGGGCAGGGAAGAGCCTGAGCGCAGGTATATTTTTCCCCCTGATGGGCCCCACAATAATTAGTCTAATTTGACCAAATGCTGTCAACAAGATGCCGCTTTGTAGATGGACCCCCCGAAACCCCTGTGGTAAAACGCAACACGAATTTGTCTAAGGTCTGCATATCCTAGATGTACTTCAAGTTGTGAACAAAGCAATACAGGTTCTGACGTCTTCACTTAACAAAGCCACAAAACAAAATCTTGAACTCGTTTTTAACAATTAACTGGTTCCCTTATTTATGGTTAAATGCAGCATAGGACAGACCACATATACAACGGTGATCCTGTAAGATTATAGGTGTGTAGTAGAAGATACCATCTAGGTTTTTGTGAGTACATCATAAAGTGAGTATACTCTGTGAAGTACTTCACAATCATCTAGTGACACATTTTGCAGAATGTATCCCAGTCATTAAGCAACCCATGACTATACTTAAATAAAATCTTTACCGTGTATTCATTTAAAAAACAAAAAGTTTACTTGTTAGACTTTCTAAACAAATCCAAATATATATAGTTTAAATAAATTTATTATAAAACACTTTAACAGAAGTATTAAATCTCTAACTTATAACTACAATTTTCCAGGTAAATTTTTGAAAAGTAGCTAATCAGCTTATTCCTTTAAACTCAGAATATATTACTATACAGGATATGAGTAAACCTAATCTGAAAATCTGAAATGCTCCAAAATGTGAAACTTTCTGAGCACTGACATGAAGCCTAATCAGATTTTTAGATTAGTTATGCTGAACTGGTAAGTATAATACAAATATTCCAAAATCTGAAAAAATCTGAAATCCAAAATACTTCCGGTCCCACATATTTCACAAGGGATGGATATTCAACCTCTATAACCTAAAGCAAATAAATTTTTTTTTTTTTTTTTTGAGACAGAGTCTCACTGTGTTGCCCTAGCTAGAGTGCTGTGGCGTCATCTTAGCTCACAGCAACCTCAAACTCCTGGGCTCAAGCGATCCTCCTGCCTCAGCCTCTGGAGTAGCTGGGACTACAGGCATGCGCCACCATGCCCGGCTAGTTTTTTCTACATATTTTTAGTCGTCCAATTAATTTCTTTCTATTTTTAGTAGAGACGGGGTCTCGCTCTTGCTCAGGTTGGTTTCAAACTCCTGAGCTCAAACAATCCGCCCGCCTTGGCCTCCCAGAGAGCTAGGATTACAGGCGTGAGCCACCGTGCCTGGCCTAAAGCAAATAAACTTTTAAAAATAAAAGAGAGCTTTTACTCCAATACATTTTAGTAAGCAACAGGTATAGCACTAGCAACTTTAGGTAGTTTTATTCTGGCATATATGTTAACTAATTCCTATAAAAACACAATCAAAGATTTGTATGTGCATTTTGGTAGCATTTTAGACTGCAAAATTAGCAGACAGCACATTCCTGGCCTTTCTATCTTTGGACCTTGCACAATCTGCTAACATAAAAAGTACATAATAAAAGATATTGGTGTTCCTAAGACTATATAAGCAGGTGAATTTTCCAGTCTTGGAGACTTATCTCCAACCAATTCACTCACCAAGAATAAAGCCTAAAAATGATGAACCAAACAGTCCCCTTTGCTTCTATCATTCTGTCTAAAACAAAACACAACGTAGCCCTCTACATCTTTTTAATTAACACACAGAGAATGTCAGGTGCACCAACTGCACTATATAACTCCCTAGATAAGCACTCTAGCGTAGGAGTCTAGTGGCTTCAGTAACACTACTAGGCTCTTAGGGATATGGAAATTATCGTTTGCTTTGAGTAGGCAAATATAATTTGGCAAATATGGCTCTTTAGTGACTTATTAAAGGCTGTATTTAAAAGAAACTATTGGCCGGGCGCGGTGGCTCACGCCTGTAATCCTAGCACTCTGGGAGGCCGAGGCGGGAGGATCGCTCAAGGTCAGGAGTTCAAGACCAGCCTGAGCAAGAGCGAGACCTCGTCTCTACTAAAAATAGAAAGAAATTAGCTGGACAACTAAAAATATATATATAGAAAAAATCAGCCGGGCTGTAGTCCCAGCTACTTGGGAGGCTGAGGCAGGAGGATTGCTTGAGCCCAGGAGTTTGAGGTTGCTGTGAGCTGGGCTGAAGCCACGGCACTCTAGCCAAGGCAACAGAGGCAGACTCTGTCTCAAAAAAAAAAAAAAGAAAGAAACTATTCCATACAGAATGCAGGATAAGTTGGATAAAAGTAAGATTCCAAGCAGAAGGACCTGCTAAGAAATACTAAAGAAACCCACAAAAAGTGTGATAAAGATCTAGGCTGGTATATTAGCAACAAAAAGTTTGTTTTGTTTGTTCACATCTAGAGCCCAGCTAACAAAAGAATAATTGAATGAAAGGGATGTATACACGAAGATCGATTTATCTATCTATCTATCTATCTATCTACAGACAGAGAGAGAGAGAGACTGAGCGAGGAGGAGGAAGAGGAAACAGGTTATAAAAAACCATGTGATCAGGAATCGCAGACTTAGGTGATCTGGCTGTAATCAATAACATAATGAAAGAAATGGTGCTTAAAATATTTTCATATTTTTTTTATGCTGAAAACATGGAGATAAAGAAGGGACTTACTATGGTCTGAATGTCTATGTTACCCAACCCCCCTCAAATTCCTATGTTGAAACTTATTCCCCAGTGCAGTAGGACTCCCAGTGTTGAGAGGTGGGGCCTTTGGGAGTGATTAAGGCTTAAGAAGAGAGCCCTCATGAATAGGATTAGTGCCCTTATAACAGGCCTGAGGGAGCTTGAATGCCCCCTTCCCCCATGCGAAGATGAATCTATGAGAAACAGACTCTCACCACATCGAATTTCCTGGCACCTTGATCTTGGAATTCCCAGCTAATCCAGAACTATGAGCAATAAATTTCTGGTTTATAACTTACTCGGTCTATTTTCTTATAGCAGCCCAAATGAACTAAGGGCTTGACTCATAATTGTAGACTAGAAGGAACACTTTTCTCTGCTTTTTCTGCTGATAAAATATCTTTTTCTACATATGATCTACCAAATATGATTTGATACTTACAATAAACATTAAATGAATAAATTTATCATTTCCACAGTGCTTTGATCACAGTAGACTTGAAGTACCAATACATTCAAGAATCATTAAAAAGATCAAATGACTTCTAAGCTAAAAACTTTAAAGAATAAGCACAATCGTTTTTATTTTAATCCAACAGGAAAGGGAAAATTTCTAAAAAATAAAAGTACAGCACTGTGCCTAGATGCATTCAGCAATACTAGCCACGGCATTTTTCATGGTTACCTGGAGGTTATATGTGGATCCTGGTGTATCATACAAATGGAGAGGTAGACGTTCAATAGATTCTAATACAGCTATTAACTTTCGAATTAATGCAACTGCTGGTCGACTGTGGGAAAAAAAGTTATTGTTAAGAGCTTTAGTATAATTGCACGCAAATGTTCATGCAGAAACTGCAGTAACTAACCTCATACAGACTTCTACTTTTTCATGAGTGCGAAGTTTAATTTTGCATTAGATTACTTCTGAGTAAGCAGAAATACTCTCATAACTCAATTTCCTTTACTTAAGAATTTTCATTTTTCTAAAAACAATGTTATCAATTACATTCTAAACAGATATGTAATTTATTTTTGTAAAGTTTAAATAATTTCATTATGTGATATTTGATACAATAAAAAAGAATGTGAAGCAACAAAGTTTTGAAAATGAGAGTATTTGATGGCAAGGGTATCACAGCATATTCTTTCTCACACTTTATTAAAGTGTAAACTGGCATATCATTTCTGGAAAGTAATTTGAAAATTTGAATCAAGAACCTTTAAAAATGGGCAGGGCTGGAGAGAGAGGAAAAAAAAAAAAAAAGAACCTTTAAAAATCATCTTTAAGAGCTGGGTGCAGAAGCATGTACCTGTAGTCCCGGCTACTCAGGAGGCTAAGATGGGAGATTGCTTCAGGCCAGGAGTTCAAGGATATAGTGAACCTGTGAATGGCCAATGCACTCCAGCCTGGGCAACATTGTGTGTGAGACCATCTCTTAAAAAAAACTATAACCTTTAACATAGTATTACCACCTACGGAATTTACGTAAAAAGATGTTTCCAGGCCGGGTGCGGTGGCTCACGCCTGTAATCCTAGCTCTCTGGGAGGCTGAAGTGGGCAGATTGTTTGAGCTCAGGAGTTCGAAACCAGCCTAAGCAAGAGCGAGACCCCGTCTCTACTAAAAATAGAAAGAAATTAA